CCCAGGAGGCTGCTTCTAGTTCTGCCTCGTGTCTGGAATGTGTCAAAAGCTTCATCCTCCTGTGGTTGGAGTTCTCCCTCTGCTGCCACTCAGAATCCTTCTGGCTTCCATGATGCCTCTTGAGTCTCTGCTCTCAGCTTCTCTGCCTGGCTGAGTCTTCTCTGAACTCATCAAGCTGCTTAGTGTCAAAATGCTCCTTTCTGGTGCAGTCCACTGCATCTCCTGCTCCATCATGATGTGTCTGCTTCCTGACAGCAGGCAGCTTTCTGCCTGCCTCTGCCCAGCCTACCTTTTCTTTATGGCCTCTCAGTGAGTGGTGGAGTGGTGTGGTCCACACATCTGTGACTCTTCCCAAGGCCATAAAGTACCTGCAGCCCCTGCACCTCTACAAGAGATACATTGAGAAAGAGGCTCTAGAGTTTGGTTTTTCTATTTATCTTGGAAGCCTTGAAAAGTGAATGAATAAATGTATATATCTCTTTTTTTCCTCCATCCCCTTTGCCCTTCCAATGTCATCTTGGTTTCTGTAATGTAATACTGAAGTCTGCTGTTGTCATGTTCAGTCACAGAACCCCAGCAGGGTGGGGTGGGAAGGGACCTCTGGAGATCATCTCATCCCACCCCCTGCTCCAGCAGCTCACCCCCAGCAGGGTGCCCAGGGTCACAGCCAGGAGGGTTTGGGATCTCTCCAGAGCAGGAGACTCCACAGCCTCTCTGGGCAGCTGCTCCAGGCTCTGCACCCTCACACAGTGATGTCAACTAAAGCACACATCTTTTGGTGTATCTGTGTGAAGCTCAGACCTAGTTTGAGATCTTCCTAATTCATTTTCAACTGAGCATCCTTTATTACAATTGTCTGGTGACTTTTCCAAGTGCTCACTTGGAATTAATTTTTTGTTAAAGCAGTGAGTCCAGAAACATCTCTGAAGAACAAAGCCAGCTGAGGGGAGCAGGAAAATAATAGTTTACAGAAGGAAGTTGGTGTAAGTGGAGTTACTTAACCTCATGAAGCTCAACAAGGCCAAGTGCAAGGTCCTGCACCTGGGCCTGGGCACTTCCCAGCACAAATACAGGCTGGGCAGAGTGTGGATTGAGAGCAGCCCTCTGGAGAAAGAGTTGAGGGTGATGGTTGATGGAAAACTGGAAGAGGGGAGATTTAGATTGGAAATTAGGAAGAAATTCTTCACTGTGAGGGTGATGAAATGCTGGCAGAGCTTTCCCAGGGAAGCTGTGGATGCTCCATCCCTGGAGGTGTTCAAGCCAAGGTTGGATGGGGCTCTGAGCAACCTGCTCTAGTGGGAGGTGTCCCTGCCCATGGCAGGGGGTTGGAACTAGATGATTTTTAAGGTCTCTTCCAAGCCAAATGATTCTATGGTTCTGTTTTTAAGTGTGACCTGATGTTGTTTGGAGGAGGAGCTTATTTGTTTGTCCTACCCTGTCCTTGGCTCAGCTTTTAGTAGGAGCAGACTGCCTTGTGTTGTTCCTGTTTTGAAGAGCTAACCCCTTGGCTAAGATCTGCCAGATCTCCTGCTGATAACTTCCCTCTGCTTTGTTCATTATGGAAATCCATCTCCTTAGATCAAAAAGATTGGGGGCTTGTGTAAGGCTCCAGTTAAACAGCATTTCTGAAGATGGAATCCCATGGTACCTGCAGGAGATGCTGTTCTGGTTGTGTGGGGCAGGTCAGCTTTGAACCTTTATGTCCCATATCACTTTGATACTTTAAGGAGTGGTGGGCTTTGCAGCTGTAGCTCCTAAAATTTGTCTGTAAAACCACCCAGAATGACATCCAGGTGTACACAAGGAGAAGGGATTTGTCTGTCTCTTTGCAGGTGACTTGTCAGAGTGTTCTGTGGCTTCTGTCTGAGTTTAAATACCTATGCAGCTACAAATTTGGGGTTTAATCGTGGTTGTTTCAATGTTGGAGTTGAATCTAGATACTCCTCATTTCTGTTGCTACTAATAAATGTTAGTGTTTAAATGGTTAATGAAAAATTAGTAGAATCATAGAATCATTTTGGTTGGAAGAGACCTTTAAGATCCTCAGTCCAGCTGTTCCTCCATCCCTGCCAGGTCCCCACTGCCCCGTGTCCCTCACCCCACATCTCCACAGCTTGGAAACCCCTCCAGGGGTGGGGACTCCACCACTGCCCTGGGCAGCCTGGGACCTGCACTGCACATCACAAAAGCATGTGTAGGAACCAGCAAACAGGACTCCATGGTTTCAAAAAAAGATACCACAAAAGATGTTGAAAAAGGAGGAAGAGGCAACTTGGAAACAAGCCTGAGGTTCTCCTCAGCTCTCTCTAGGCAGGTGAAGTGATTCAGACTCCTGCTCTCTCCTGAGAGTCATCTTTGCATCTCTGGCAGATGGTTATAAAGATCCAGTGTGCTGCTGCAGTGGGTGAGATCAGTATTTGAAGTGTGATCAGAAGCTTTGTGTGCCTCAGGCTTTCTCCAGATCCCTGTGTCCAGTCGTGAGCTCTGTCTGGTGGAGATCTGCAGAGATCTGGAACCTGCCGTTGGGGCAACCTCATCCTGCTGGGTTGGGTGGCACTTGCTGAGCTACGAGTGGGGTGTGTAGGGGAGGGCTCTGCTCTGCTTAGCAGAAAAAGTGTTTCTCCTTTTCTGTTTGCCTGAAGAGGAAGAGCTGAGGGGGTTCTGTGTCACTGCAGGTATGTGCAATCCTCGGAACTACAGCGACACGCCCCCCACGTCCAAGAGCACGGTGGAGGAGCTGCACGAGCCCATCCCCTCCCTCTTCAGGGCCCTCACAGAGGGGGACACTCAGCTCAACTGGAATATCGTGTCCTTCCCCGTGGCAGAGGAGCTCTCACACCACGAGAACCTCGTCTCCTTTCTGGAAACAGTGAACCAGCCACAGCATCAGAACGTCTCCCTCCCGAGCAACAACGTCCACGCACCTTACTCCAGTGACAAAGGTGAGGGGGGTGGTGTCTGAACTCCTGGTGTTTCCTCTTGCCTCTTCCAGGGGCCTCCCTGCTGCATCTCCTCTGCTGGTCTGTGCTGGCTGCTTCTTTTCCCATGAAAACATGGAAAGTTCAGTCGAATTTTGAGTGAAGCTGGAGTGCTGAGGGGTGTGGAAGATGGTGTTCCAGTGTGAGGTGATCTTAGGAGAGGGTGAACCACATGAGTATCACCTCTGTAGTTCCTCCTGTGGCACTAGGCAGCATGTTCACATCCTCCCCTGTGCACTGCCACCGTTTGTTCTTTGACTTGGGAGCAGTTCCCTGTGGCTTAGGGGACAGGACAGACCAGAATCTGAATCCATATCCTGTAGCAGTGCAGAGGGAAATTCGTGGCTTCAGAGGTTTGAGAAAGCCACATGCCACAAACCATCGTGTCTGGAGTAGATCCTCATTTCTTTCATCTGAGCTGGCTTAATTTGAACTCTTCAGAAGGATGGTTTGTAGGAAATGCAGGATGAATAGTAAAGCTGAGTAAGATTAGCAAGATCAATCTGTGTTGAGGAGGGGTATGTGACAGGCAATCTTAAAAATAAGCTATTTGGGGGTGGGGCTTCAGCTTACAGACTCCTTCCTCTTCCTTTATGTCAAAGTTTTTATATTCTCACCTTCAGTTTAGAGGAGAGACTTCAGAATGTTGTTTGGTAGGGGCAGGTGACCCCTTATGTTGCTGCTGAGATGGGTTTTTATCTGAGCAGTGGAAGATGTGCTGCTCGGTGGACACGCTGCTCCTCCCTGCCACTGTGAACCTTTGGCCTGGTTACGTCTCTGAGCAGGGCTGCTGCTGATTAAACAGGATGGTAACAGCAGCTTTTCTAATTTCCTTTGGTTCAGGCACGTTAGAAAAATAAATTAAATCCAGAACTGGGAAACCAGATGGCCAGAAAGAATCTGGTTCATGTGTCTTGGACGTTCCTACAGCTCTTGCTTGCCATTAGGAGAAGGATGCAGGAGGCTGTGCTAAACAGCAGGCCACAAAAAGCCCTGTGTGCAAACACCACGGTGGTTAAAGATGTAAATTATACTTGGGGGGGAAAAAAAATTACCCTCAGAACAATCTTGAATATATCCCAGTGTACTTGGGTGTGCAGCCCAGATGGCTGCGCCCCAGCAGCCCTTTACCACCACGCCAACAGGATGGGCTGGTGATGGTTTTGGGTTCCTCTTGGCATTTGAATTGCATCTCAAGGCTCTGGAGGAGTTTTGTGAGTTCAACAACACAGGCAAATACACAACAGTGCCATTTTTTCTAAGTCAAAAGTCTCCTTCATGTGCTGGGAACCTATTAGAGACTGAGAGAGCTTTTGCTGGAACGATGACAGTCCAAACCCAACGGTTATATTTGGAAATAGTTACCAAATGCCACTGGTTTTCAGGCTTCAGGAGACACTTAGAACAGGAATAAATGTCAGAGCTGTTTTTGTAATCCTTGGCTGTGCCTCCTCCATCTTAGTCATCGGTGAAGAACTGGAAAAGGTAGAAAATGGGTTTCAACATCCTGTGCTTTAAGTGGCTAAGTACGTAAGCCTCTTGAGGAGTCTCCTCTCTTGGTCACAGTGTAGAGAACTTTGTAGTGCTCTGTTTTTCACAAGTCATATTAAAGTTTGCTTATAAAACCAGGGATGATTCGAGCGTGGAGAAGGTGGAAGGAAAAGCTGGCTGCTGGCCTTGGTCTGCTGATGTAAGACAGCTGGGGAGGGACTTTTTAGGATCTTGAGTAACAACAGAACTAGGGGGAATGGGGCAAAGCTGGCAGTGGGCAGATTCAGGCTGGATGTGAGGAAGAAGTTCTTCCCCATGAGAGTGGTGAGACCCTGGGATGGGTTGCCCAGGGAGGGGGTTGAGGCCCCATCCCTGGGGGTCTTTAAGGCCAGGCTGGAGGAGGCTCTGGGCAGCCTGATCTAGTGGGAGGTGTCCCTGCTCATGGCAGAGGGGTTGGAACTGGGGGATCCTTGTGGTCCCTTCCAGCCCTGACAGATTCTGATCTGTTTTAGCAGAGGACTTTAGAGCCCTAATGGCTCAATGGTTGGACTTGATGACCTTGGAGGTCCCTTCCAACCTAAATGATCCTATGATTCTATGACTATGGGAGAGGCAAGGGCACCTGGGCACTGCACCTCTTGTGTTGGATGCTGTGTGAGCCACGGGGTGCCTGGAATGCTTTTTTTGAGGAAGCAGTAACCAAGAGGTGGAGGGGTGGAGGTGGAGCACCAGCCACGGGAGCCCGGGAGCTCTGCTGTGAAGCCACCAGCCCCAGGAGGGTGTCTGGAGGGGGGGGAGGTTACAAAGCATTCCCTGCTCACCGCAGCCCTTCAACTTCCCACGGATTATCTTAACGAGCGTCTTCCCCTTCCGCCCCTGGCTCCCAGCGCTGCCAGACTGGGAGCTGCTGGAGCTGCTGCCCTTCTCCCCAGCCCTCCAGAGAGGATTGTGATGGTGAACAATCCAGCTCCATTTACACCTGGTTCTTTCTGCTTTGCTTTTGGCTGATCCCCTCAGAGCTCTGGAGTTCTGCTGTTGGAAAGAAGCTGAACTGTTTCAGACGATGAGAGGAGGAGAGCGAGGGGCTGGAGGATCTTTTGGCAGCTGATGAAACAAAACCTGCCCTGTGGGGAAGGGTTTCTGGCTCCCATTGGTGGTGACACAGGGGGTGGTGCCTGCTCTGTGCTTCCACCCTCCTCCAGCTGCAGCCAGGGGAGGGCTGGAAATCCAGTGAAGTGCCATCTGCCTCTCCAGGTGCTCCAGGGAGATTTTATTTTTATGGAAATGTCTCTGGTTTAGAGTCCTGGTTGGGATGTAATGGTGTGGCTGCTGGGGGCACAGTTACCTTTTCAAAGTACTTTTGGAGCTGCCAATAAACAGACCAACAGGCAACTGAACTGACACAGCACCTTCAACTTCAAAGGTGACACACGGAGAACTGCCATTAACTGGGAGAGTCTCTTCAGCCTCAGAGCCCTTTTGACCTTGGACTGGATGTGAGGGACTTGCAGGGATTCAGCCTCTCTGCAGGCACACAGGCACTGCTGGGGAGGGCACCAGGAGTGCCCATGAGAAGGTGCACCTCAGGCAGAGCTGGCAGGCCTCTGAGAGAGCCACACTGCAGAGAGCCTTGGGAGCACACACCCAGCGTGTCCTCCAGCTGCTTCCAGGAGCTCCTGGGAGCCAGCCAGGCCTGCTGCTCTGACCTCTCCCCATCACACTGGGTTTGGGCTGGTCCTCTAGCACCTAATCCTCTTGGCCTGCGTGCAGGTGGAAACAAACTTTCTTCTCCACTTGCCAGCCAGTCAGGATTAATGTCCTTTGTTGTTGCTGCCACCTTAATGAGGCTGAGGTCTGGCTTTGCTCCCGTGTTGGTCCTGGAGAGTGGTCCAGGAGACCAGTCTCTACAAATCTGACAGGACCAGACTGCTGTCATCTGGTTTTGCCAGGGTTATGGGCCTGGTGCTGCTTGTCCTCTGGTCTCCTTCTGCCCGAGAGATGTCTTCAGTCTCTCAGTTCAGCATCTTTGATCTGTGTATCCCAGAAATCAGAGGCTCTTCTGCCACAGGACATTTATTCCAAGTTTCATCAGGCTTCTCCTCCTCACTGTGCACAGTGTTCTTACTGAAGCTGTAGTTCTGTTGCTTGGTTTTAGGCAGAAGTTTTGTTCTCTGGGAACCCTCTTCCTCTGGTTGCTGTGCCTCAGGCTTTATTATAAGTGGTTGTAGAAACAGAATTGCCAAGAGTGGGACA